CTACTAATTTAATTTACAGATTTTTCAGAAGCAGTCTTTAACCTCTGTGCTTCCCTCTCCTTACATCCTTATCATCATATTTAAGCTTTAAGGGCTGGTTATCCTCCCGCAGCAGTGTGTCGCAGTGAGCTTGTCACAGATATTTTTGATTTATGCCCAATTTTGAAGCGAGGTCTGCGCCATGTTATTCCATGCCACGACGCAAGAGGAACAATCATGCACTAGTGGAGTGGGGGCAAGTTTGTGTGACAACGGAGGGACATGAAGGCAAAAAAGAGCGGGGATCCAGGTGGAAAAAGGTTCCCAACGTTCTCCTGCAACTCGCTCTTCTAGCTGGTCCATCTTCAAGAGTCGTTTTCCACAATGGCGGTCATACAAATAAAAAAAGCTGGTAAGGTACCAAACAGGAAATACGCATAGTGTAGAGAGGATGTAGATTTGACCAATCAGAGGCCTCCTGTCTGCGGCACTGTCAGCGGTCACCAACAATTTTGGAGAGGTGCACCAGAGTGTCTGCAGAAGGGGCGTGGGCACACTTGTGTTCACTGCGACACACAGGCAGACGACCTGGTTGTTGAGTATAAATCAGCCTTCACTTCATTAACACTTCATTGCTACTTCTTTTTAAGGTTGTCATTCAGTGATATTCTTTTAGAAATTGCCATTCAAACTGCAACAATGTCCCATCTTTGGCAACTTCTGATGATGTCTAAGCTGTCACATGCTATTTTTTTTATTTGCTCTTTTTATATATGTTTTACACAAGCCCAAGCATTACTGAAAATGAAAAGCTTAATAATTATAAAATTTAAGCTTCACTAGTACAGTACACAAGTTTTGTTCCAATATAAAAAGTTTATTTTTTTACGATTAAATTGAAAAGTTTTTTTTTTTATTATTGAAGTTAGGGAAAGGGCAAATGAAAACAAAGCAAGTCTGAGACAGTTTTCTAGGATCTAGCAGTTTTAGAACATCCAACTCACAGGGTTTAATTAGTTGTCTCAGAGCCTGCTGTTTTCTCAAACAGGTAACACACTGTGAGAATTAATTCCTTCCGCTGATTCGAAGCCATAAAACCGCAGTAGTGACGAGCGACATCAAACAAACTCTTGACAAGCTTTTATAAAAGTAGTCAGCTTTTAATAATTTTGATTTAAGGCAATCCAATACAAAGCATTTCACAACCCACCATATGACACGAATCATGTACAATAAAAACCCTTGGAACGTGAAGCAGAGTCATGCAGAACAGAAAACATAAGATATCTAAATAATAAAGGTAGAAACTGTGGTAGCAGACCAAAAATAATTATAAACAGATAACAAAAGGTGTTACGTAACTGTAACATGCAAACTAGCTACAGCGTTTTTTTAAATTTCTTTATCAACACGGCAGACGGGAAATCTTTCAGGAGTCAGGCACAAGAGAGAACCACCTTACAGTCCATTTTCACTGCAGAAATGCAGGTAGTCTGGATGGGCTGTGCTGTCTTGTTCTCCCACAGATGAAGGCATTCAAAAAACATGCATTCCATAAAGATAGTAAATATCAGTTTGAAAAGATAAAAGGGTCAATGGCTTCTCATAATCTTCTTAAAAAAATTTAACAAATATTTGTCATACAGCAATCTTCCCCAAAATATATAAAAACATTAAAGATTACCCCTTTTAGGGATTGCATGTTAATGACTGAGATTTCTGTTTTTAAAAAGAGGATTTTTTTTTGTCAGAAAGGATTTTTAAAATGTGCTTTACTTTGTGAAAAGGACCATTTGAGCCCAAGACAGTCTTTCACTGAAATTATTTGAAATCCTAACCTTAAGAAAACTGCCGAACAACAGAAAAGGTATTATTTTTAAATGCAAAAAGTTTAAATCCAAGAACTTTTAGAAGTCTTGTTCATCAGCAGGAAAACTCGTTTTGTTATTCCATATCCATTTTCTTGTGAGTTTAAAGGAGTTTCACTATTAATGATTAAAAATGCAAGCCAGCTGTTACCCTACGCCTCCAACCCTTACCCATCCATCTTATCTGCTTATCAGGACAGGGCTAAATAAGATGGAGTGACTACTGTTCATATGATTAAGGCCTTTAGAGTTTGCTACATTAAACAGTTCAAACCGTGCCTTTTTGAATCCAAATCAATTTTGCTTCTTCATTGCTCTGATGTCTTCTAAAGACGCAGGTACCCTTTCGTTTTAATGCTCCATCAGTCAGAGCCACTTTAGCTTAGACACTAACTAGGGAAATTGCTCTCATCTAATGTTCTTACTTCACCACAATAAGTAATTATTGGAAGTGTAGAACCACTTCTGTGTTCTAGGAAGAGGAAAGACAAAAGCCAGAGGACTAAGCACATTCTGCAAGTTTAAGAGGACAATTCAAAAAATTATACGGCCTAAAATTTAAACTTTTCCAGTCACCTTTATTTTACTTTGATTTTTCAGAGAGCTAATTTGAACAAAAACCCATTAAATTAATCCACTACTGATGCCAATCATTCTGACTTACTCTGCTTCAGCACATTGTCTTCCAACATTTGATTGCTGCCCCAATATTTCTCACAAGTGGGGGCAGACTCCATCTTTCATAAGTAAATCTCAAACACAGCGTGAGTGCTTTAATCTTAGAGCTTCTGCAGTTGCCCAATGAAGACTCATCCCAATTTTTGACGGATTTATAAATCTGATGAAAAGCTTCTGCTAAAATATCTCAGCGTTACATTGACCTACATTTCTGTCTCTGAAGTCTGCATTCAAAGGAGGGTAAAAATGAAAAATAATGCTTAGCTGCATATTTCCAACAGCTCAACTGTTTAAAACCTCCTGGAGAATCACCATTTTAAGTTCTCCTGTCTTGCCAATTAAAAGATGTCTACTGAGAAATGCATAAAAGGAATGAAATGTTTAGATGTCTTCTTACATCTATGCTCTTTATCCTGTGTACATTTAGTCTTATATTGCTTGTAAGAGGAAGGCTTTTAATTACAGCCTCACTTTTACTTCAAGTAAAAAAAAAAAAAAGGTTCCCTGTCTTTCTGAAGTTCAAAGCGTAGAATGCTTGGATGTTCAGGAAAACACAAAATACACGTTTTTTTCAACTAAATGGCTTTTAGAGAATAAATGTTAACTTGAGAAAAGTTGAACTAACTTGTTCTGAAATAGTTAACATATTCTATTTTCCTATTAATGTATTTAACTCTGTGTTTATGTGTGTTTTGTGCACTTAGTTTTGTGTGATCCAGCTACAACATTTTTAGTTTGATATCTGTGGCATTCCATTATAAAAAAATGTTAAGAGCTGTTTCCACTGATATAATTTTCTAAACTTTGTAGTGAGTTCATTTGCATAGAAAATAAACAATGGCTTTATTCTAAGATTTTGACAACAAAGGATACTTTCTAAAACTGTAATGTCCTTTTCTCTCCACATATGCTTCCTGCTGATCTCATATCTTTGCTTCAGGGTGCTTTAAACTTTCTAATTCATTGCAATGACAAACTTTAAAGCAACATATTACCTAGAAATTATACTTCAGCTTTTTTCAGCTATTTCAGACCCACATTCTGAGGTCTGTTCTGGGCCATTGATGCCAGAAAAAAAGGAAAAAAATGGGACATCCATGATTATAACTTACCCTTTAATTTCTTTTTGTGGACCTTTTGATTTAGCTTTCCTTATATTAATTTTAAAGGCACACTATGCAACATTTTTCAGTTAATTAATGTGTTCCATAACGTTTTGGATGATTAAATGAGTCATTTCAGGTGGAACAAAGGTATTCTCGGCCGCCCTGGTGGTCTGTGGGGGAAATACCGCACTTGCAATTGCAGGAGCCCTCGGCCCGCACCCACAGGCTCAGAAGTCTCGCGAGAGTCGGTCTTGCTTTACGGCGAGAACTGCTACACGCCCCCAGTTAAAAGCATGCTCGTTGCTAGCACAGTGGCGATCTTTGTGCAGTTATCATGGCGGAACCAGCGTGAAAACAGCGAAAGCCCATGTCGGAGCAGGCAAGAAAGAGGAAAAGGGCTCCGGACAGAGAGAGGAGTCGTACACGGGTGAACATCGGGCAAGCTTTTTCCGAATGGCGAGAGCTAAAATAAAAAGAATGCTGCAAGGCTGACGCGGACCTCGCGTTTCTGCTGATGCGATTGTAAGTAACATTGGAATGGTTTCTCTCTCTCTGTGTGCATGTTCATACTTTCACTGTGTTAGTCATTCATTGCGTTTGCCTGTCTGCTAAGCTCAAAACAACCGCGCCTGGCTTGACAGAGAAACCAGGAGAACAGCTGTGCATATTTACGACAGTGCACTTTTACTTTCGCCCTCAGGGGGGAGCCTCGCTGGAAAATCAACAGGTTGCATAGTATACCTTTAAATGATTTATGTTGCCAAACAAATAAAATTAAAATAAATAAATACCAATTAGGCATTGAAACAGTTGTTGTGCTCCCTACAAGTTCACTTATCATAAGCTTGTGGGAATAAATGTGAGCTGTGCGATTGAATTATGGTGGCATTTTAAATTACACTTCCATCAAGGATCAGTACAAATATAGGCTGCATAACTCAAAACTAATGATCATACAAAAATATTCCATCTTCATAGATCACCTGTTAGTATGTTCATACAAAATAAAGTTTCTAAGGAAAGTATAGGTTTTATATTCTGTTCTATAGGTGATGTGTACAATACATTACAAGGGCTGAATTAAACATCTAATGGGGTCCATAAATAAACCTGTTAAAACCTTATCGAACTTGATTTAACAGTCACTCTGTTGTAGCTGCTTCACATATCAGTTTATAACTGACTAGATTAACTTAAAATAAAGTGGATTTTTGTATAAATTGAATATTTATTTTATCTATACTTTAGCTTTTAAATTTAACTAATTGATTTAGTTAAGGGGGTCATTTAAAAAAGCAAAGTTACAGATAGTTTGAAGATACGGAAAGCGAAAATCTAATTATTAATGTTCAACTTGGGAACACAGTGAAGACAGGAAATCTGGGACCCATCTGATTGTTAAATAACAGGTTACCTAAACACCATCATAAGATCACCTAAATCCAAAATGAAGGCTTATATTATCACAGCTAGGAGTCACCAGATACATTCCCCTGCTCCATGGGTGAACATGTGATCCAGAGGAATAAAATTAGCATTTGTATTTTAAAACCTTCAGTACTTCCTCCTTTATCTAGTAGGTTTCCATACCTCCACCTCAGTTTAGCCACACTGTAGAGGAGGGAGCAGCATCAGTATTTTCCTCAACATTTGACATAGGCTCAGCTTTCACTGTATTGTGACTAACTGGGTCACCTCTCTTTCATTCCTTTTTACATGAAAATTTTTCACTGTGAAAACCTAGTTTACTGTTAAATTTTCTAACACAGAAAGTATTTATAGATCAATGCTGATATGTTAATTTTCTATGTCAGCTTCTGTCTCCTTGAGCCCCAGTCAGCCTCAGCAGAAGGTAGCTTACACCACGCCTTGTTCTGCTGGAGGTTTCTTCCTGTTAAAAGGGAGTTTTCCTCTCTACTGTTGCTGCATGCATGCTTAGTGTGAGGGATAGCTGAAGATCAGGGGTCTGCAACTTCTGGGAGTGATGACTGAATATTTTTAAATTTAGATAAGTTAGTAATACATCTTTTTTAACTGAATGTTATTGTTATTGTCTGTAAATGGTGTTTAGATGGCACATTTATGCTCCCCATGTGCATATTTTGATTAACAAATAGAAGAAATCCAAAGTACTGTTTCCCTTATGACCACTGTTGATCACACTTGGGCTTTAAAGTCACAGGTTCCTTTTTGTTTTTTCTTTAGGTTGAGCCTAAAGTTTTATAAAATATCAAAAATCCTATGAGAAAGAACTAGCTCTGAAGCCTCCAGCTAGAGCTCTTTGCTCCTCACTGCCATAACAAAGGGTTGAAGGATCCCTTTGACAGCTTAAAAATAGATTTTGCACTTGAACAGCAGCTGGAAAGATTCGCTGCTTTGTGTCAGTCTCCTAGCAAGCAGGACATGCAAGTAATTTTGAGGTGAAGTGTTTATGGAAGCGATGCGAAAAGAAACAGCTGCTGTTGTTCTCCTCCAAACTGGACCCAGGTTGTAGTTAGGTTCTGCATGACGTGAACCTCCTATATTTCACAGTTGAAGTTTCTTTTCAATTAACAGTCAGGGAACTCTCAAACTTCATAATAAATAATGAGGAGGGAGCTATGCTCTTAATTTAACCAACCTTAGAGGACCTCTTTGCTAACATTTGGAAAATATCCCTGTTGTGACACAACATATGATCCCATCTCAGAAACGGATGCAGAAAGGACTGTTTTAAATAGTTACTATACAAACAGATATTTTTTGGCACCCATATACATATTGGGCCTGATCTTCAAAGATTCTAAATAGTGGATGCTAAAATGCATATGTAAATTTTGTCGTGCGAACAATAAGTGGGCGTGTTACAGGTGATCAAAAAAGATTCCTGTGTAATTTTTAAGACATGCAGATGAGTTTTGCTCTGCATTATGAAAATGAGCAGACTGCATCGGATCCCACCACTTCGAGAGTGATCTTAAAGAAGGATGCCTTTCGATTTAATTATTTAAATATTAACAATGAAAAAAAGTATATACCGGTATATGATGTAGTGTATTTCACAAAAGTAGCCTATCTGAAAGAGCTATGTACTAAAGTAAAAAAAAAAAGATGCAAAAACTAAAGTATAAGTTCAAAATAAAGATCATAATTTATGAGAAATTTATCTTTGTCTGCTGATTGACCTTCCTAACCCACCTTGAAAAAGGAGGAGTTGTAGCCTGTTTTACACTAGAATACACCCTAAACAGTTTAATGTGTCCCCACTAGCTCCTCTCAACAGCAGCCTGACCCTGCATAATGCAAAACTAGGAAAAGTATAATAATTTCATAAAACATGAGCCTGTTAAAGAACATTAAGGGAGACAAAAATCCCTCTTGCCTCACGTAAGAGATGCACACTTTCAGTCATGCCGCCCCCATGTCTATTTACAGGCTCTGTGATGGATGTTCTCTGGTGGCTCCTAATATCTTATTTTCTTTTAGAAACATACCACAACATTAAATTAGATTTTTTTTCTTTGGTTAAATTGTATATAGATTCTCTGCTGTCCTGTTGCATTACTTTGTGCCGGCTTGTGTGGAAATTTTTTCTTCTCTAATATTATTCAACTTTTTCAGATGGTCCTAATATGTTTTAAAGTACAGTGAATCTCTCTCCATCCTCTGTCATCCTCCTTTGTGGCCACAATGACCACGAAAGTTTTGCACCTTACTTTCAGAAATGCTAAATGAGAAGCCAAAACAGCTGCTGCAGTTGAGATTCAGATTTGGAAACCACTTTACACATGGTAAATGTTCACATTTGCATATCCTCCACCCATAAATTATTGTGGTCTGGTCATTAAATTAAGATCTGCATACTAAAGAAGGCACACACTCAATAACAGATTTGCAGACGCTTTCTGCTGAATTGCTATACAAATCACTTTTCACCTTCTGCTCTTGGGATCTGCTCTAAGCATTGGAACCCGTTTGCATCTTTTTGAAGATGCGCAAACCTTCTGGAGACCAGGTCCTTATGTGGGGCTCACACTGAACATCTTGCAGCTGCAGTGCAGGTATGTTGCAAAAAGTCTCTCATGTTGAAATCAGCCGGTCCAGCTGCAGAAATGGCGCTTAAGAGGGAAAAAAATGAACTCTTCCAACAAAACTCATTATTGGTGTGCATAAATATGTCTTTGATGGGGCTATTTGACAATCTAGGTTGCTGGGTTAATTTTATTCTGAAATTCTCCTGAAGTTTTTTCTGTCTGGCGTCCGGCTTTATGGCTTGTAAAAATCAGGAGCTTGATGCAGAAACCTGCTGCTGCATCCGGCCAAACTTTCTTATTGCTAAAAGGATATCCTATTGCTGATGTCAATGTACACAATGGTTTAAATGATTTGGGTTCCCTGCACCTGCACAGCAGTTACACTGCATTCAGTGTGAGCCTGGTATTAATGTATTTACTGATTTTGTTGAAGTTTAAAAAAATGTTACCATTTTGTTTTAAAATGTAATATAATTAAGAAACTACTGAATAACTACTGGAACAGTTTGTGGTGGAAAGTATCCCCATTGTAAAATATTTTAACTTATGTTCAGTGTGAAGAAATAGAACAGAGGAATTAAGATAAATGCTCTGCATGGGAATTCAACTGTTCTTGAGGCACGCTTGATTATTGTGGCTCTAAGCAGCCGTTTAGTTTGCATCTGCCTTGGACTGGCCCTTTACACACCTTTGTATAAATACTGGGTTTTTCAATGAACCATCTACAAATAGTGTCATAGCAAACAGTTTTTTCCAAACTAATGCTATATTTTATATTAAAAGATGGTGGTGGAGTGAAATAGTTGTTAAGGAAGAATGCTTCCTAAAAGTAAACGATTAGCAGCATTCCAACAAGTACACAACCACTCTGGTACAGTCATTGTAGCTGCTGTGCTATCTTTTATATTTAGTGGCTCAAAAATAATTGGTAGTGAATACAAAATTGATTAGATGTCTTTCGTTAAAAATCAAATGTATTCAATTTTCATGCCACTCAAAAAAAAAGAAGAAAAAAAGCTGATAAATCTCATACGACATGCTCATACAAACATTTAGTATTAAAGAGGAAAGGAGGCGGTGTCGTTTGGAAAGCACTGGTACTGTCATGTTATCAGAAATGGAGATATATCCCCGATATAAAAACTATTTTGAGAAGGAAAAGGTGGCTAAAAAATATTACTGCATTAGGCCACACTGATGATTGACTAGCAGGGTTTGGGTCAAGTTCACATGTCCTGATACACTTAGAGAAACACGCACAGACAGGCACAAGGTTTAACCACTACATGACCTCTTTGAATCAACCTGCTATCAAAAGACATGAAACAGTCACAGCCTGAAAGGCTTTCAGCAACAAGTCCTGAAAAAGTTGGGTCAGCATCTCCTGAAGAGAAACTACAAAGAAATGTATCACAGCAGAAACAAAACCATACCAAAAAATTAAAAGAAAAAACAGCTGTTTCTGCACTCAATGGGAGGGTTCAGCACGACATTTTACACCCATTTCTTGGTCTTCTGTTCACAGCAAAAAATATAAATTAAATACTTAAATCAGGAGGTAGAGAGTTCCCACTGAACTCTGAGTGTCTGCTGCATGCTATCTGTCCTCAGTGAAACTCTAAAAGAAGGGCCTCAGATTTGTGTGTGGTGGTGTGTGTGTCCAGGCGGAGTGTATGGTGGCGGCGCAGGGTTGGGTTTAATTCCTCTGCTCTTCATGTAGGAAATAAACTGATCTGGGATTTCTGCCAGCACGTCCTTGGCGAGCCGTGCCATGCTTAACACGTGGTTTCCTGTCCGGTCCATGTAATCTCTAAAAGGAACAAACTGAACAACAAAAACAGATAAGAGATACACATCAGGATAATACATAAATACATTTTTGAAAATCTTTTAAAATTATCTTTTTTTGTCTTCACTTGGCTTTCCAATACATTACTTTGGACATCAAATAAAAGAAAGGGGATAAACTGGTGATTTTTTGTTTTTTTTTGTTTTCAGCCATTTGAGATGAAAATAAGATACTAAATCGTCGTCTGATGCTTTGTTAACAATAACGCTAAAGCCATAATTGCCTTTAAAGACAGGTTTCTTGCCAGCATAGCAGGTCACTAGGCTTTAAGCCGCTATGCTATCTTTTTTATGAGCCAAACGGCCCTTTGACTCACATCTGGGCTTCTTACCTAGGACTCTCTCCAGCGCATTTAAGCACAAACACTGGTTAAACTCAAGGTATTTAAAATCAAACTGAAAAAAGTCTGACACACTGAATTATACTGAGTGGAACGGCTGTGGAAACAAAGTTTTTAGACAACATTACTTCCATTTTTATCCATATGTGAGAAATGCTATGTAAAAATGCACCATTTAGGCTCTGTCAACGGCTCATGGTCGCTTGCGTTCAGAACATCAAGTGCTAGTCACTGTGCTTTTTCCATATCCAATAAAACACAGCATTACTTTGCAGTTGCGTAGCTACCATACTGCTGCTGCAGGTTGATCAGATCAACTTATCTGAGTCAATCTGACAGTTCACATATTAAAGGGGATGTGAATATTGCCTTCAATGTGCAGAAAAGATCAAAAGAAGGAAGAAAATTTGAAATCGTGGCTAGAACCACACTGAACGTGAAACCTGCAGACATTTTTCTAATTTTTCTTCCTTTTGTTCGCCTTGAATTCCCCCTGTTCATGGAAAGCCATATGTACTGCATGCAACTTCACATGGCAGGCAAGAGTTTCCATACATCATGTAGTCTAGTAGCTGTTAGTTTCACCTCTACATGGTGGACAGGGAATTCACGGAGCGGCTCGCAGTGCTTTTTTAAGTTTTGAAAACCGAACAAAGCTGTAGGCATCCCTGGGTTCCCTTGGATTCTCTAAAGATGGAACCAGTATAGAGAATATCACCATTTCCTCTGAAAGCAACATCTGGATAAAGGTCTCTTTTAGTGGCACATTTTTCTATCTGCTGTCAACAGACAGAGGTTATTACTAATTTGGCTAAATTTGGCAAAAACTCATCAGTTGCTTCCCTAGAATCGTGTCCTTCGCCTTGCTTTGCATGTTGCTTGCTTTTTTAACCCTTTTTTTTTTACAACAACAGATATTTTTGTTACTATCAGCAGTTTGTTATAGCAAAAAACAATATTTATAAAGATTCATTTCATATTACACTATGTAAACATTCTATCAGCACAGCAGAATATCCCCTTGGCACATTGGTGGGAAATTCCAGTTCCTTAGGAACCAGTATCCTGCAACTTTTGTGTCCTTGATCCAACTAACCTAATTCAAGTAATTCAATGATTAAGATAACTCTGGAAAACACTGATGAGGTAATTCAGCTATTTGAGCCAGTTGTAGGCTACCAGCCCTCCAGGACCTGGAATCGCTAACCCCTGATTTAGCATGTTGAATGCTCTAAGGTGGGTTAAGGTGATGCACTTTGAGATGAATGAGGCTTAGAATTATTTCCTTATTTCCAGGCACTAATGTAAAAACGGACCGAATCTAAAAAAATATAATGAAATATAATTAATGTATGTACATGCCATACTGTAAATGACATGACAGTGATTTATTTATTTTCCAAACGTTGCCTAATTTCTTTCTGTGTTGAACCCTTGAAAAGCTTATATTTGACTGCATTTATATTAAGATGTGTTAGATTCTCTGCAAACGCAAAACTGCTTTGTATCTTCTGTACCTGTTAGGTACCTGTACCTGAAAAACATCAATAGAGCCTTTTTGGTAAACAAGGTAAGCACTACAAGATCTCAACTTCTGATCTATGAATACTGTAAATTAGTTTAAATAATCAAAACTCAAAAGTTTAGCTCTGTGTATCATGCTTTACCTGCTACATAATTACTGTAATCTTAAATGTCTGATGCTTTGGGTACAGAGAGATGGCAGCTCACTGCAGCTGAAACAGGTTGATACGTAAAACGCGCTGGAGTGGCATGCAGTACAAAAGCTCTTTCAATGAATTGTCCCCAATGCATTAGCAGAAAAAAGGGTTTATGTTCTCATCTGCAGATTAGTGACAAGTGTTATTTTAGGATATGCACACCCCAGTAGCCATAATAATAATGTCAAAATATGAAGCAGGGAAGCACTGGTGCTGATAATTTGTGACCAAAGTATGTTGGTGCTAATACACCACATTGGTTTAAAGAGGCATAATCACATTATATGCTTTAAGTTGGAGCATGATGCAATAAAGCTATATATGCCAAGTGACCATCATGATCCGTTTTCATTGTGTTTTTTTTCAGCCTAAATAGAATTCTAGCACCTGGTACAATGAGCGAGGCGCCATCTGCTGGCACTACCACAGAATTATCAGAAAGTAGATGGCACCAATATGCAGCTATATAAAAAAGCCCCACCGACCTCAAAGGCCTCATGGTAAAATGACAGTTCAGCATGGACAAAGCCAACAGATAGCATTCATTGAATAAACCAATCTAAAGCAACTCTAAGTTCTTGTAAATACTCCTCAGAACCTCTTACCAGAACATTAAGGACAAAGAGAATTCCTGTTTCCAACAAACACAAACTGGAACACAGTTACAAGTTTTGATATACTTGAGTTAAACAAAATAAAAAAAAATAAAAAACAAGGTCATAGGCTAAAACCTTTTCATTGGAATGGATGCAAATTCGACACATTAAACTTCCCTGGTACGGTAAGTGGATTGTTGATGAGACCTGAATTAGTTCATCTTGAGTAGCGTTCTGGATTTTAGCTGCTCTGACAGAAAACTGCCCTCTCTTCCCCTACTCTGTTTATCTCATCTCCATGTTCATAACGTTGTGTGTGATAAGGCTATAGGGCTAAGAATAGCATTTTTATTAAAAGTATCAGTATTAATAAGGATGTTTACTTTCACAGCTTTATCCATTTTAGTGAACACCAATGTTCATAGTGTAATCCGAGCACTATTTAAGGTCTTAACTCTCTTTGGATCTTTTTTTTTTTCACACTGGATCTTGAACTTGATTATTTTCACAACTTCAGTGGGAGGCGCTAAGTGTCTTATCCAATGGCAAGATAGCTTTGTTGTTATTGTAAATATACACAAATCACTTTTTTTTTTTAAACAAATTGAGCAAAATGAAAGCATGTAAAATCATAATAACAAATACTACTTTTCAGAAAACCCTTGTATGCAACCAGAATAGGCTAGTTGCACATAAATTTAAAAATGTAATTTTACTTGACTATGCCCCTTTAATCTCAATTACCCACAGGTTTTTCTAGAAAAATGTCAGTGTCTATGAAATTTAAGCTCCAGTATATTTCATTCTCTGGAGGACAGTCACCTGTACAATGTCTCTCTCTGCCAGTTTCCCTCGGGATGAGATTCTTATGTCGTCACCATCAAGCTCCACCATAGCTGCAAGACACATAAACATAAGCATGCAAGCATAAAATCATTTAGTATAAAACCTAATTGTAAAATAGCTTCCATAATAACAGATATAAGGCTTATCCATGCTTAAGGAAAGGCTTTGTTGTCACTTTATTCACAAATTATCTTGTAGCCATAGTAAAACTTTAAGTATGTTGACCTGTCTTTATTGTCGGTCTAATCTACTAATAAGTCCTTAATTACAGACAGTGGAATTTAGAAGCACCGGCTCTAAACATGGCAAACCCAGCAATTAACCTCAGCCATTTCTTCTGCTTTTATGCCTGCCTCCACCTACACATTCCCTTCCTTCAGATTTAGTTTGAACTGTAATTTTCTCTGTGAATAACAGCCAGGGGGCCTATCAGCCATAGAACTTATAGAACTATTCTATATATAGATCTATATGTAAACTGCTGAGAACAAGTATTAGAACACCCAGATTTTTCCAGCGTTTTATAGAATATTATTCAGTCTTCAGCCTTTGTTCAGTATTTGTCTCACTGTAATCTGAAATGAAAGCATAGTACAAATAAGCAATTGCATTTATGGAATAATGTTTAGACCAAAATGTACTGCTCATAAACGTGGGCATTTGTGGCATTATCAATGGAATTCTTTCTGCAATACAAATCAAATATTCTAAGGAAAGTTTGTGCAAATCTGTGGCCATCTATGTACAGTAGTTCTCATAAGTCTGTGGCACATGAACCCCTGACCAACAAGGTGCTGATCAGAAGCTAATGCATGTCCCTGAAGAAGGCTTTGCTAGTTGCTTTTGGTCAGAATGCCTCTCAATTTGCAAAAGTCACTGGCTCGTCAAAATTTTGACGAAACAGAAATATAAATCTATGGTGTTTCCATTTGGTTTAAAGCTAATTCACCAAGTAACCAAGTGTCATAGAGTTGAAACAGATATTTCAGTTTGAGGCCAACCTTACCTTTGTTTTAACTTCTGAGGATTAGCACTAAAGGCCAGAACACATCGAATCAGACAGAAAATAATGGCAGACGAGGTCTTGGCGTGTAGCGCTTATTGAAAGTCAATGGGGAGGATCGACCCTGATGCGATTTTACACAAGGGGGCTTCTGTAGGTCTGACTGAGATAGGCCCCAGGTCTATTTTATTTGGACTAAGCAGTAATTCAGCTACAATTTAATGGGTCTGACAGGAAGTGAGATGCGGTTATACATCCCCCACATACTTTGGGGGAAAATACTAAATGAAGTCTGTTAATCTTATTTCTCGTGATAACGAGATGATTGGTGTCTGTTAAAACTGATTACGTACTTCAATATCACAACAGTGGAGGGGTTATATAACTATAAGTCATGGCAGCCTATGTGTGATTCTGTAAATAATCCTGTGCTTAACTTTTAGGTAACGAGGCAAGGTTGTTGGTTTGATTTGCTTCCACTTCTGATTCATAGGCAATCAGACCTATGCCTCTGGTGCCTTAGCACCGGGTGTTTTCTGAACATCCCCGTTGTTATTCCTGTAACCTGTATAAATGGGTCCAGATTTAAGAGTTTTATTAAAAACTCTTATTTAAAACTCTCTGCTTCTTTCATTACGTCTGCTTCTGTCTCCTTGAACCCCAGTCGGCCTCCGTAAATGGCCGCTCACACTGAGCCTGGTTCTACAGGAGGTTTCTTCCTGTTAAAAGGGAGTTTTTCCCTTCCCCTGTCGCTACAAGCATGCTTAGTGTGAGGGATTGCTTTCGAGTCAATGAGTCGATGCAATCAGCTGGTTTTCCTCAGATAGGAAACTTTGAATCAATTTGACTGGATGATCTGGTCGAATTGTAAAGTGCCTTAAGATCACATGTGTTGTGCATTGGCGCTATATAAATAAACTGAATTTGATTACATGTTAGAAAACAATTAATGTTTTAACCTTCAAAACGAGATAGTTATGTCATTATATTGAGGAGGCAAAGGAAAAAAAAGGTTAGTACAACCGCACCTGGCTTCAGTACTTTCCAGATCTCTCTCTGAGAATCATCTCTGCCTCAGTCAGCATATAAACCTTCCCACGGTGTTTAGTGCTGCGTTTTTCACTTCAGACATAGATCCGTTATGTTTTTAATACAGGCATAGGAATGTTCTTTGTCTGTTCTGTTTTGAGATGCTGCACAGACTCGCTTTGCTTTATAGAATGCGATGATGTTTTTTTTGTTTTTTATTGGCTTTTCATAATCTGTCCAAGACAAATGTGAGAAATAGTTTTAATCTGTGTATAGCGCAGACACAGAAGTGAAAGAAATCTGTGAAGATCTGCCCACCCTGCCTCGTTGTAGACTCCCTATATGCAGTCAGTGTGACATGGAAAAAAATCGGATCAGAGATTAAAAAGTTGTGCGCAACCGGTGTGTTCTGGCCTTTACCAGTGAACCCTTTCAAGCTATTCATTGTACTGGAATTTTTTTAAATATCAATAGAAAACTACAGAAATTAGGGTGTTCTAACATTTTTGACCAATAACGTATATCTACATGGCCTGCATGGCTGTTTCAATGTATATCTATATCTATCTAAATATATCTATACATAGATATAGATATACATT